CTCTCTCTCTCTCTCTCTCTCTCTCTCTCTCTCTCTCTCTCTCTCTCTCTCTCTTCCAGAGAGAGTAAATAAGTGGCTCGTCTACCTAGTTTCTCCATCGAGAGAGTGCATGAACCACTTCCTCGACCACCTTTTCTTCCTCCTTGGCGAATCCTTAACGAATCCTAGATAACGAGCAAATTAAGTGGCGAGCAATTAAGTAAGGCGTCAAATTCATCTTTCCTTTTCTTTTTTTCTTTCCTCGTCTCGTACACGGATAAAACGCGTGGATAAAAAATTTTCCATCGTCTGTCGCGTAAGATTCGAAAGATTTTAATGAAAGAATTAGGGTTACAATTATATAAAGGGGAATATTTTTATGGAATATTATATTTTTATCGACGAGAATATCTGTTTGGGTTGCAAGTTCCAAAGTATTTGATCGTTTGGACGAGAAAGAAATTATTAAATACACCAGGATCGGTTTAACGATTTTCAATCGACGTCAAAACGCGTCGTTAATTAGAAGCTGTTGGAGTCGAACAACGTTTAGATAATTAGACGCACGGCACGTTTACAGTGCGGTTGCCGCGCCACAGGTTCCTTCGCCTAATTCAATCGATGTTGATTTTGCTGTTGCAGTTGGACAGGTTCAAAGAGCCCCCGGCGTACGGGCCAATGTGCGATCTACTCTGGTCGGATCCGTTGGAGGACTTTGGAAACGAGAAGAACGCCGAACATTTCTCCCACAACAGCGTCAGGGGTTGTTCGTACTTTTACAGGTAAACGTTTATCGCTATTAAAATAGTATCGAAATTCTTTCGAATATTAACGTATTGTTCGTTATTGAAACTTTTTCTCAGAAATCGTATCGTTTCGTTTATTGTTTTATTTCAATCAATTTATAAAGATATCTGCAATGTGCATTATGGGAGTTTTATCATTCTATAGCGGTTTTTCCCAAGAAAAGATGAGAAAGAAATTTCTCTGTCGCACACGCGTTGTTATCAGACAATGCACAACCATTTTGGATTTTGTTGCACTTTTCGCCGTTTTACAAATGTTTTTTTTTTATTTTTACTCATCGAAAATCATTATTCGAGAATACCTGTCGATATTTACTGTGTTATTTGAAATTAACAGTTATCTGTTTTTTTTTTTTTGTATCGTTCGTTAAAATCGTTGAATCACGGTTCCTTTGAACATGCTCGATGAAAGTTTCCAAAAGTATCGCGGATTCTTTCTGTCAGAATACACTGGAAAATCTACTGAGAGAAGCGATGATATAACTCCGACAAAGTCACTTTTGGATCATCTTTTTTTTTGTATCTTTTTTAAACGTGTCCCG